TTCGGTTTGCACAAGGCCTAACAGGAAAAAAAAAAAAAAGGTAAATATTCAAGCGTGTATACTTATAGAAGAATGGATGCATTTTACTCATGTACCCAAATGTGCATGTACAAAATGAAATTTGGTGATTATAGACAACCTCCAAATTATTTAGAGAGGATCTTTTCATATTAGAAACATTTGAAATGCTGTGTCCCACAGACATCTGAATTCACCCTCATATGGGTATTGATCTTTCTAATAAACATTATTGTTAGCTGGTGATTCTACAGCTTCAATTCACAAAAGCTATCTTGTTTTTGACAACAGATACCTTGTTTTTCACACCAAGTGCTGTATAAATTAAATACTCTATCCAAAAGCTACTGATCCTTGTCACCTGGGCTGGACAGTAGTGTCTACCCTGCCCAAAGAGGGAGTGTTACCCCTTGCAGAGTTGAAGCCAAACCTTTCACACATAGCAAGAAGTTCAGTAAAACCAAACCAAGAAGATATGTGGAATAGATTAATGCCCTTACTGTGCCCCCCACCTCTGTGATTTTGGTGATGCTTTCTTGCTCAGATTGTCCCTCTTGAAGGTTGTGCAGAAGTGCATTTTTATAACCTGCTGAAAGCAGTTCCTTCTCTTCTCTGAAAGCTCAGGAGGAGGCAGTGAGAGCATCATCTCTGCATCACATGGAAACCCTGTGATCCCAGTACTTGCTAAGATCAGGGTAGGGAACCCCATCAGCTCCTTCCTTAGGCTGGGTTGGTCAGAGCCACACAACAACCTCCTGGGAGCATGATGCAAGCTTCCAGCAGTGTAGGATTATTTAATGCTCTTTGGACTAAAAGAAGGACTGTCACTTTGCAGGAGGGTGTCCTGATGGGGGTTGCTATGCAGCACTTCCATACTGAGTGGCTGCTCTGCCCAAATTTCTGCCACATCATTCCTCAAGGAGGCTGCTACAGCAGTGGTTGTCACAGAGCTGGAAAAAGTCTCTTTTTGAGGATTACTAGATGTAATCCTCAGTGTTTAGGTTAGCAAAGATATTTCTTCTGGGAATTGCTAATATTCACCATCTTGAAGCTGAGGAGAGGAGGGGGGTAGTGTTTTCCCTGGAGAAGCACCTTCTTTAACAGTCACTATGCATTATTAGGAACAGCTTTTATACTTGTTATTTGATAATCCTTCCTTCCTTCCTTCCTTCTTTCCTTTCTTCCTTCATTTGATCAGAATTTTGCAATCTCTATCTCTCTCTTAGTGTACATCTCATAGATTTTCAGAAGCTGTTATAAAGCCAGTCAGTTCACATGTTGTCACTCAGCTCCAGGCCTTGGTAATGTAAAAATTCAAGATTTTGTGATCTAATTTTCACTCTTTTAAAAGCTGAATTATAATTGAAGATCTCATTTGAAATTAAAGTCTTATTTCTTTTTTTTTGCAAAAATTTCACTCATGTTTGACATCTATTTCTATAATGCTTTCCTGTGGTTCATAGGATTAGTGCACTATTAATGCACTAATAGTATTATTATACTATAATAACTTATTTGGATTTTAAGGCAGTGAGTTTTTTCTGTGTTTAGGGAACACTGTTTTGCCTGGTCTTGTTACAGCTTTTAACCATATTGCACCAACTGTGGAGAACAGGTTGTTCTAAATTAACACTGTAGGTAGTCATAAACATAAAAAAAATCTGAGTGATATTCTATATTGGCAAAAGACAGCAAATAGTCTCCACATGTACCATAGTAACGATACAGATTTAAACAGAGAAAGTTGATTGTTCCAGGTATTTGTGGCTTAAAAGTCTTTGAATTAATCTTTGGAGTTCATCCATCAGTCTTAATCTGCTCATTCAGTGCTTGTGGTAGGGTGATATGAAAGCATGTCATATTTGAGGCCCAAAGAGACCATCACAAGCATTTAAAATTGATTTCCAGATTACTGCAGACTATTGAACTCACCCACTTGCTTCTGCACTAACCTTCTGTCTGCTAAGGAACACTACTAAACATGATAAAAAGGGAATGACAAACCCCTTTTCTCCTTTTATGTTTCATTCCAATGAGTAACAGCTTCACTTTTGAAACTACAGTTACATTATTTCCATTCTACAGCTGCATGAGTTTTGCACCCAGAAGTTTGCCTGCTTTTGTGCTCTGGTGTATCTCTCTCTGCTTCTGGAACATAGATTTTTCTCTCTGTGAAGATTCTTGTAGACAATAATCAAGTCACCTCTCAGCCATCTCCAAGCTAAGCTGACCGAACAGTGTCTTTAATATAATCTCCATGGCAGGCATTTTGTTTTGGTTTTTTTCCTGCATCTGAACCCTGGACCATTTACATATATTAAATTTATATTAGTTGGTGCCATTTAAAAAATTATTCTTGAGGCCTGAATTGTGGGATTTGCATGACATTTTCTCACCTTTAACATATACTTCCTAATCTCTTTGGATGGCGGCTGGCTGTGGTTGAAACAAGACCAGATAGCAAAAGATCAGCACTGCCAAGAGTTTCTTAAAGCTGATGGGTCACCCTTGTCACTTCTCTAAAGTGAAATGCAGGTTGTTTTTGTTCTCTTTGTCTCCTGATGTTCCCACAGGGTAAATTTATTTTAGTATCAACAGGTGAAATAAATGAATGGATGAGTAAATAACTGATTATAACAGAATTTACAACAGGGACAAGAGCCCAGACAACAACGTGACAATTAGAAAGTCTGGGTAAATGCACTGGAAATCACTAGTCTTCCTTTGCATGCCTTAGCAAGAAGACTAGCCTTTAAACTGAAGCTGCAAAATTCTACAGTAGGAAAAAAGTTAGGCTTTACAGCTGCAGTTGTTTTTACCAGTGACCACAGACCCTGAAGGACCGGAAGACTCAATTAGGCAGGAGTGTGCCAAGCCAAAACAATGCACAGGCTTACCACAGATGGTGAATCATCAGCCTCTTAATAAACTAATTTCCTCAACAAAAAATGAAATTGATCTCAGGCCAGCATTGGTTGTTTAGGAAAAAAAACAAAGAGTTCCTGTCCGTCTAGATGAATGGACAGATCTTTTTTTCTGTCTTGTCTCCAGACAGCTGGAATATGGCACCTCTAGCAGACAACGCACTGAAGTTATCGATGAGTAACCTGAAAAGTTGGACATAGCCATAAAATTCTTGTCTTCAGCTCTTTGTCACAGCTTTTAATGCAAAATCTTTGCTTGTGATCTTCAGACATTAGTTGTTATTGTTACTGCCTCTTGTTTGCCTGCTGTATTGCCTGAGGTGCTCAGCCAGCAGTTGTGCTGCCCCTGAAGATGATGCTATTCAGGCATTTACCAGGATTTTCTGAGCCTCCAGACAATTCCCATGGTACATTGTTGTGGGACATAAAAAGGGTGTGAAGTGAACTGGGATGGGATAAAGGAGGGGAAATATACAAGAAAGAAATGAATGTTGACTAAAGAACAGAGTTACAATTGGGAGGGGAGTTGTTGGCTACTGTTTTGGTTTTTTATTTCCCATTTTAAACAAGTGTGTATCTCAGGGGGAAAAAAAGCATGGTTACTTTCTCATTATGTGCAAAGGTTTAAGATGGTTGCCAATACAAATTTCCTAAAAGGGCTGTGTCTTGATTAGGCACTTGAGTATATTCTGGAAAGCCTTCCTCTCAGGTATCTCATTTATTAATTTTCTAGCATTGGAGGGAAAGACTATCATCTGCCTGCCGAGGGTCTGGCATGACCCACGGCTTCCTAACCAGGTCCTCTGAAAAGTTAATATGTGTCCAACAGTGGATGAACTTGGCTCATTCTTGGCCATGGTCATATTAGAAGAGGAATTAGAAGTGGCAATGAAAGAGAAAGCCTAGATTGGTGTTTTTTTTTGTTTGGTTGGTTGGTTTGGGTTTTTTTTTTTTTTTTTTTTTTTTTTTTTTTTTTTTTTTTTTTTTTTTTTTTTTTTTTTTTTTTTTTTTTGGATGTTCTTGTATATGATTGCANTTTTTTTTTTTTTTTCTCCTCCAGTTTTCCTATTTGGATGTTCTTGTATATGATTGCAGTTCTCCAGAGAAGCCTCCTTTTTTAACTGCTGGGCCTATAAAAGATGGGTGTACCAGATTTATTTGCCTTCCTAACAGAAGAGGCTATAAACACACAAGATGGGCCTGTGAGGCAGAAGTGTGGTAAGAGAAAGATGGAATAGCTCATGGTGAATGCTGAGATGCAGAGGAAGAGGATGGGGAGGGACATGCATGTCCCAGTGATGAAGGACTAAAGGAACAGCAACTTTCATGAACAGAGAAAAAAGGAAGGACAGAAGTGGGAGTAGGACAGGAGCAGCTGGCAGGAGAAAAGAGGCATAAGACTGCCTATGGTCAGAGCAGAAATCCTATGAACAACATTCCTGAAGTCCAAGTTTGCTCAGTTATGCTTGTTTGGACCTAGATCATATGCTGCTTCTCCAACTCTGGTACCACATGCTGTTCCTGCAAGGACCCTGAGCCAGACTCACCACCTTTGTGATGCTGCCAGGTCTGATGACAATCCAGATGTTAATGCCAGTGTAACTGTGTGCAGGCTCAGATGTAATGCCAGGGAAGCAGAACCGATCCCTCAGAGTAGGAGGGGTTGATTTTGCTTTTGTTGTCACTAGTAAGTCCAGCAAACAGAAAAGGCTATGTAGGCTCCTTGCCAGAGACCAGCAGTTTCCAGAGGAATGGTACCTTGGAAGATGACAAGGGGGGGCAAGGGAAATTCATGCTGCAGCAGCTTGGTGAAAGCACTCATTTGTCTGGCACTAAAATCCTAAATTTGTCTAGTGGATGAACTGTGTGAGTGATGGGCATTAAAGACTTACTTGTTGCTTCCCAAAACAGAGGTTTGAGTATTCAGGCTGCACAGAAATAACAGTTCCAGGTATGATTTGAACAGGTAGTTGTGGGCTTTTACTGTGACCAACACATGGCATTCAAATCTGGCCAGTGCTTGGGGACTGGAAAGGAATGATGTAAAAACAAGCAGGATCCTTTTATGTTTTTCTTTTTATTTCTTTATAAAGAAAGGAAAGGATGGTCATGCCAAACCAAAATGGCAGAATACAGACAAAGGCGAGCACTGAGGCTACTCCTTGGGGGCCATCCACAGTAAGCTCTTGCCTTGGTAGGGTACAGCTCCCCATCCCTCCTGCCAGGAGGAACCCAGCATGCAGCCAGCCCTTCAGTACAATCACAGCTCTCTGAAGTTAGTTTGCACAGTTTCACAATACCATCAGCCCACATTATGGTGGGGCAGCAGCAGCTGAGGCCAGCAACATTAGCAGCAGCAACATGGGATACAGTGCACAGAAAAAAAAGGAACAAAGAACTTGTTTGCAAACAATTGCAGGTAACAATATAGAAAGTCCAAAGATCATCGTTCTGCTATAAAAATATTACACTTCATAAAACCATGTACTATAAAAAAAATCTATTCAAAAACGCTGGTAAACATAACAAGTATCTGTACACTGGCTGCCCTTTTCATACAAGAAACATAAAAATCATGAGTCTCAGAAATAATAATTTTGTAAACATGAATATGGAGCCCGTAAACAAAGTGCTAGATCATGGTTCATATTTTGACAATTTATTACTAACCAAGTAAATTCCTTACAAGCATCATCACCTAATGGCCAGACTCCACTACTGCAACAGGAAAGAGGACTTTGAGCTCTCCCACCAGTCACTGAAGGTGCATATGGATTAAGGAATTAACACAGAAATGAAGGCAGCAAGATTTGGCTCTGAGTATCAAATCAGAAACAATCTTTTAGCAATTGTTTCTCATTTTATGCCCTTCAAATGCATATTTTCTAGCCTCTCCTTTCAAAATTTGCCTTCATCAAAGAGATTATGCATTTTCATTTTCCTTTCACGCTAAAGCATCTCTGAAAAATATGTCCATAAGATCCATTTAGGAGACATAACGGAGCACAAGTTGACTCTGTAATTATGTATACCAAAGCAAGAAGTAGTGGTTGAATAGTTCAACACTGAACATCATGGTTTACACAATACAGGATGACAAAAAGGGCCAAAATCTTAATTTTAGGCTCTAAACTTCAGGCTGAAAAATACTTTCATGTGCAAGCCTTGTGATGATGTTCATGATCAGATGCTGGCTGACATATATGTGTTGCCACCTAGTTGCACTTGGAAATGCAAGCTCTAGGTTCACAAAAATCTATGAAGAAAATTTAGATAAAATTTGGCTCTAAGAATTACTCTATTTACTCTGTTCTGCACAGGCTTCAATCCATCCTTCATCTGAATACTATGAGTTTTAGTTCTGTGCACACTGAGAATTTTACTTTTAACTTCATTTTATCTTCTGAGTTTAAATTCTTATGTTTTTGCTAACTTTCAGAATAGGAGAGGGTGTACAATTGTGTGTGTGTTCTGTGGACAGATGTGGAGAGAGCAGTGTGGGACTGTGTTCACACAGGACTTGAGGTACCAGAAGGAGTTTATCTGCAGTGTTCTCAGGCAACACAAGTTTTCATTATCAGGGTCAGCTAGGAGGGAAGAAGATACACTTCTAAAGGGCAATGACATATACTTCCAAAGAGGAAAAGAAAAATGGGATTGCACATTTTACTTTTTTTCTTTTTAAATGTATTATACTAAAGCATCTTATTAACATTATTTTAGGCCTTTTTATTTTAATGTAAGGAATATCGGAAAGGTTGTGCTGCTTGCCCGTCTTTTAGGATTCATATATGTGAGTGTGGAGCTCACGTGGCTCTTGCTTAAAGGGGTCATCTCTGGGTGTCCAACAAGGGAATTTTGCTTATAAATATCTGCTTTGATATTTCTGATACATGCATCCTAAGAGAGGGCTTCAAAACACCTGCCTGAAAATCATTTTCCAGTGAAAGCTACAATATATTGTTTGCTATAGTAATCTGCTGTATCTTCTGTGTTTGACTGCCTTACTTCTAGGGATCAAGAAAGCTGTAGCATGCCCCAAAATCAAGAATTTCCTCTGCAAAAAAATGAATAATTTAAAAACAAACCCTGGGGTTTTTCTATCACTTTTATTAAGGTAGTGGCAAAAATACACACAGTCAACATTATTTCCCCATTACATGTCATCTGTGGCCCTACACCTTCTGGTTACAGGGATTTTGCATGAACTTGTGGCCAATTTTCAGAAGCCTGGACTTGTCCTCCCTCTCTGTGCACAGGGCTTGGCACTGGGAACCCGCTGCTGGACAAAAATCACATAATTTATAGCCCTGACTCTGAGCCATATCTGGGCTCTGCTCAGCACAACGCAGCAACAGAGGGACAGAGGTGACACTGAACTTGTAGCCATTACAATGTGTCAGCTACACTGGTTCTGTTGCCTTCCTGGTGCCCCCAGCCATTTGTTCTGACAAAGAAACATTTGCTTTGCCCCGTGGTGACCTGGCTAAAGGAGGTGTGAAATGACAGATGAGCAGCTGAAGTAAGAGAAAGTGACTGCCTGCCATTTTTAGTGTCAGCACTTGCACTTGCTGGTGTGAGTTCAGTGGAGCAGCAGCATATTACCTTTGTGCCTTCCATGGCTTAAGGGATGAGCCAAGCCCTGTCATAATTCATAGCAGAGACACACATCAATTGCATACTTGACTGAAGTTTGGATGTATTCAGAGGTACCAGAGCTGGGTACAAGTTGTTGGAAAGAGCAGAAAGGGTCTGGCTGTAAAGAGAGCCCAGTATTACATCCAGAGTTAGATGAAGTAGAGGAACACACAATCTGTACCTTGTATGAGTGTCCCATGTGATGTCATGATGTTGTGTCACACAAGACGTGCTTCACTCAGCTCTCTGAGCACCCTGGGCTCTCAGGGAATTGAAGATTTGTTTTTCTGAGGAAACAAAACCTATTCTCAGGTAGACTTCTTTTTCAAATGTAAAGATTTGTAACAACATGTCTGTGAGGGTCACTTGTCATTTGCTGAAATAGTTAGGTTTTATAAATGCTATCTTGTTTGCTTAGAAAAAGTTAAACAGATTTTAAATAAGTGAAAATTGATGAGAGTCTGGGGCAGAGGTCAGCTCTCCCTTTGAGCAGCATCTCCCACACCTCTGCCTTATAGACAAGCAGTGTGCTGTGTAGGAACTGAGTAACACTTCCCATGATATTCTTCATCAGGGCCATTTGGCTCCCTCAGAGTCCTGGAGCTGCAGAGGTGGGGCCCAGTTCTGCAAAATGTGGGGATATGCCTCCTCCTTTCTGGGCAGACTCTTCTCTCCTGGACTGAACTACAAAACCTTCATGGATATGGTCCTGTGCAACCTGCTCTAAGGGAACCTTCTTTAGCAGGGTGGTTGGACTAGATGGGCTCCAGAGGTCCCTTCCAACCCTAACCATTCTGTGACGGATTTTGAAGTCGGCTGCCAGATGAGGGATGCCTGTATGTCTGTGACAGGTACACTGGGTATGCCTTGGACACTCATTGCATTGTGCAGCTTGATGGTTAAAAATGTAACTACAATATTTGTAGTAGCCTAAGGCACTAGGTCATTTTATGGATTAAAAACTTAAAGATGGTATGTTCTAATTAAAGGAGACTTTTAGACTTTCAGGAGCTAAACATAACATTTAGTAAAAGTCTCTTAAGGTTATATGAAGAGAGAGAGAGAGAGGAGAGAGGTTAAGCCTTTTTCGGTTTTCTCCCAGAAAAAATAAAAGTGCTTATTGCTGAGCTATACCATGGCCAGGAGTCTAGAAAGGAGATGCTGGTGTAAAAGCAGCCATTGCAGTAATTAGGCCACAGCCACAGCCTGGCATCCTCTCTGGGATCCAGCTAGCCAGGGGAACCAGTAGGTGCTATCAATCTGAAATAATGACTGCCAGTGGCATATTCGTCCCTTGGATTTGCTGATAGAGGCTCTTGTATTTTAGTCTAAGTGAGCTGTATCCAGAAGACTGACAGTGAAAAAGGTTTTATTGGGTTCACTTCACTGGAACAGGTCAGAAAACCCACCAAAAAGCAGCTCCCATGGCAGGACTGCAGAGGGGAGATTGATCTGCCCTTGGAAGTGCATGGTGATGCACATCTGGGGCAGAGGGGAGACTGGATGGGGAAGCTTCTTCCATGGATAGGCACAGCCTTTTTTTCTACATCCAGAGTAATCATTACCATTATCAATGACAGATTTCAAAGAACGCTGCAGACAAAACTCTCTGAGTATCACCTCCACCTCTGACTACACTTCTACCTTCATTTGGACAATGCATTTTGTGCATGTGTTTACATACAGACACATATGTGCACACATCTGGATGCAGTGGCAACAAAATTTTAATAAACAAATCCAATTATATGTATGGGCTCATAATTATTTATAGGCTTATAAAGTAATTAATAAGCATTAAGATGTATGAGTCCATATGTGTCTCTATGTTAATAGCTGGTGGGTTAGAAAGAGGAAAGCCAGGAAGATTTTAAAACCCTTAAACTTTGGGAAGAAGAACATCCTGTAAGTATGTTGGCCTACAGTAATATTCAGTTGAAAAAAACATGCTTGAATTAAGACTGGGTATATCTAGAGGGAATGAGACTTTTTCCAGTGGTTGTGAGAGAAAGCAAAGTGAAGCAATGCAAGATAACCAGGAAATCTCAGAGGGAAACAAAAGCTGTACATAACATTTTCAAAAGTCTTTCTGCCCATATACAATACAATACAATTACTCCAACCATTAAAAATACATTTTGTTGCAATAGCACATATCAGCTGGGACCCCAGAAAATCCAGCCCTCCCTCCAGGTTGCCCTTTGCATCCTTATGCCCACCTTGTATTTTTCCAGGACAGAAGTAATTTCAAGGGAAACAAGGCCAGACCAGAGCTGTTCTGCACCAGCCAGGATATCCCTGCCAGTGGATATCCTTGTGGTGTGCTGTTAGCAGAAACATGTGAGACTCAACTTCTAACAAGCAGAAAATTCTAAAGGCAGCAAAAAGCTGACACTGAGCACAGCTTAGCCAGAGGAGAGAATGTGGGCTGCTGTGTACACAAGCATAAGCATCCACCTGTGCGTTTGCACTCATCAGTCCCAGCCAACTCAGCCTGTGTGTGAAGTTTCACAGCATAGTTTATTTTAGAAAAGAGAAGGGCTTCAAGGAGAGCTGCTTTGCAGTGATCCTCTGTGCACAGCACATGAACTTAAACATTAAATATCAGTATAAATTATTAGGAATAAATTTAAATTTAAAAATAGACTAATGCAAACAAACAAACTTCAGTCAACATTGAAGCAGAGATAGTTTTAGGAAGAATATTACTATAGGAAATGAAACCCATTGGACAATCTGAGGCAGTGATCTGGTAATTCCAGTTCAGCACCGAGATGCACGAACTACTCAGCAAGAAAAAATTACCATGTCTAGCATATGAAGCTCCATGTTCACATTTTTCCTTTTTTTTTCTCCCGTCACAACAGAAAAAAGCCAACAGAGCACAGTAGCTTTTCCTACAAAGCATCTGAGGTGATAAAATTCACTCAGAAAATAAAAATCAACAAAAGCAGTAGAAAGAAGAATCTTGGTCAGCTTGTGACCACCAATAAGCTAAGATGGGTAAGAAAAAGAATAAAAAAATAGTTCACATCTGGCACCACAAACCTTGCTTGCCTTCTTTGAAACCAGGGAATGAGAAAAAAAGTCCATTTTGCAGAGACCATTTCAACAAAAGTTTTCTTTCCCTGGACCTGGAAAATCCAGTTTTAGGGCACAGAATTTTTGTTTTATATGTATATAAATACACATGTACATATTCATATAAATATAAAAGCAGAGCATCCTCCCATTTCTCCTCATATTTTATTATTATTAAAGCTTGTAACAGAGTTGGCCGAACTCTTCAGAAGTGGGTACTCTCTGCACACATGTGGCATGGGGAGTTTAGCTCTGCTAGGGCAGAACACCCAGGCAGGGACATGACGTGTTGGGTGATGGAGGCAGATTTGGGTGATCAGCCAGGGGAAGGCAGGGAGCAGTGGCTGGAAATGGCCTCTCTTGCTCCAGCGTGGCACTCTGGCCTGCCAGGACGAGCAGACCAGGTGATGGTGTGGGAGGATGGCTGCATCGACCCACTTGGCCCCTGGGCAGCCCAGCACCCACTGTCTTCTGCACCAGTCACTGAAGGGGGACTGTCCCCAGCTTTCAGAGGGAGTCAGTCTGCCCCCAGCCACTTGTACACTAGTTGCCTTTGGATTATTTTGCCTACTGTCCTCACAGCCACTCACACCTTTCCCTGCCTTTGCGTCCCCAGCCCCCTCACCTAATCCTCCAGACCCGCTGGCTGGCCAAGACCAGACACCTTTCTCTTGCCTGATCCACAGGCTCCTACTCACACTGCTTTATATAAATGCCTTCCCACAGTATCATAAGACCCATTCTTTTCCTCTGAAGACTGAGCTTCCCAGAGGTTTTTTGCTTTCTGAGACTTTCGAGCAAGTCAGAGCTGGTGGCACACTCTCCTTCAGAGATGTTAGCTTCATTCCAGAGAAGGCAGGGGCAAAGTGCAAAAGATTCCTCAAGAACAGAAGGTATTTCCACCACCACCAGCTCTCTCTACCTCATGTTGTATAGCACTTGTTTCAAATAAGGTATTAGTCATGTATCTCTGCAGCCTTCACTCTTCTTGGGGTGAGTGGAGATCAGTAGATGTCTACTTCATCATGACGCATGCTGGAAGAGCATTCTAACCCGACTGTTCTCTTCATAGCAAAAAGTGCTTTTCTTGAGAATCAAAATGAAAACTGTTCCCATGGAACATCTTACGGACTCAAAAATAGTTTTCCTAGGGTGGAAAGGATGGAGCTCACCTATTTGATTTGGCTTTATCTCAGTAAAGAAACAGAGCTACTGGCAAAACTGGCACATCTTTTGTGAAGTTGTTAAACTCAGGACCCTGGCTGGAATGTAAAAGAAAAGATGTAGCAAATGAGAACTTTGCCTTACGTGGGCTTCTGCTAGTTCTGGCAATTTCATGTGCAGGTTCTCCAAAAATGTTCTGCTAGCCAAGTAAAGATGAATTTCTCAAATAATAAACTGTGGGTTTTCAAGGAGGCCTTTTGGGAGTAGTGCTACAATCTGGTAGAGGTAAGTCTTTTCATGCCTCGCCGCTGAGCCAGGTTGGAGGACAATACAGGCTCCAGCCTCGGTGCCTGAGGTGCACGGTTTAAAGCGAAGTAAGTGGCTGCCATTGCACCCTGTAAAACAGAGAAAGAGAAAATTTTGAAAAGAAATTAATTTTTTTGATGCGCTTCCCTTCCCCTATTCAGTATCCTAAAAAATTGTCACACATGCACAATTTCCATGAAATTACACCATTTAGGCTGGCAGACAGAGTTGTTTCAGATTCAAAATAGTGAAGGTCAGTATGAGCCACCAGGTTATTACAATGCAGCCTAAAGTTAAAAATACTAAGCAGGTGACAGTCAAAAATACAATGTCATACTAAATTTAGCTTCTGTGGCAAGTAATTTTCCCAACTCCTTTATCACTTTTCAGACTATTTACACAAATATGAGCTATTTACAGCTCATTCTGCAAGCAAGGGTGAGGGAAGGGTGCAGGAGGTACCTTAACTAGGTGGACATCCTGTCTGCTGAGTTGGTTTTGAGACAGGTACTCCCTGTTCACTATCCATGGATGTCTCAGGACTTGGACTGCTGTGAGGCGCTGATGAGGGTCTACATGAAGCATCTTAGACACAATGTCCTGGGTTGAAAAGGAAGAAAGCAGTGCAAGGGAGAAAGTTAATTAATAGCTGTGCAGGTTTTACTAAGGTCTTCCTGTTGGTGGTGTCATCATTAGCATGTCCAATAGTGTGTGATGCACTTTAGAAAGGCTTTATGTTCTTTAAGTGTCAGGTATTATCTTCAAAATTTTCAAGTGTAATGTTCAACTCTCAGCTAATAATCCAGTCAAAACATAATGTGGAGGGCATTCATTTTATTGAATAACTGTTAATTATTTGTAACCCTGTCAGAGTGATAAACATCTAAGGAGAGAATGCCATCTTCAGGCATCTCCTCACTGACCTCAAAGCATGCTTACAAGAGAAACTTAGAAGAAAAACTCAACACCCAGGTAAGTAAAATTCAGTTAGGTTAGTTCTACAACATCTAAACATTTTAATTTCAAAACTGGACAGTTAATAAAAAGATCCACTGTGAGACTCATAGGTGCTGGTAGCAAGATTAATGTGCTATTGGGATTGCTTGGAGTTTTGTGGTGGAAAGTATCTATGTTCTTCTATTGGATGCTAACAGTTGCTAAAAATGAAATCTCTTGCAAGAATCTTTAAAGCCTGTCAAAACTTCTGATTAATGCTGGGCAAGTGGAAGCTTGCACCTTTCCTGCCCATTTGCCTGTCTCACAGACTAGTGCACAGCTTCATGCACTAAAGATTTCAGAATGAGATGATTTTTTTTCTCCCAGGGTTTTCCTTGCTTTGTGATAGATGGGCAGCCTAAACTGTGAACTGTAAGGAATCAAAACTGCCTGCTCCTGTTTAACTAAGCAGCAAAAAGGTGATTAATACGTAGACAATACAGGTGTGGCATTGACAAACCTACGCTTCTTTTAGAAGTGTGATTGCACCAAAAAAAGAGTTCTGTGCTATTTAAATCTTGAGAGAAAATCTGAGAAAGGGTTCACTGACCTTTGCAGTATCAGATACTGAATCCCAGTTTCCTCCTGTAAGAGCATATTTGCCACTGCCAATCCTGGCCAGAATCTCCTCTGGGGTGTCATCTGGACCATTTGCAAAAGGAGTGAATCTATTTAAAACAAAAAGGAAAAAAAAAAAAGAGAGAGAGAGAAAAAAAACTATGTAATATGTAAGTACATGATTTCTAGGTTCTAGTATTAATTGCCAATGATCACAAAAGGAATTTAGTTCCAGAATGTGCCACTGACACTGCTACTTCATTTTCACTCAAACTATACAGGCTGGTGGTTCCTTATATTGATCTGCAGAGGAAAAGACAGATTCCGTAATTGTTTTTTAAATTTTTGTTCTGTTACAATTTTTTTAGAAATTAAATATGCTTCATAAAAATAGTCAGGTTTTTACCTCTTGTTTTAACCCTGCTTTATTGCGAGCACCTTTATTGCCAATACCAGTACCTTGGTGACAGCAAGAAAGGAAAAAAATTATTAAGCAGAAAAAGTATGCTCTGAAACAAAAAAAAAAAAGGAAAAGAAAAAGAACCATTTCTAATCTATTTTGCAATGCTTTGTTAACTCTAATGTGCAAGTCAGTTGGGCAAAATAAATTACCTGCAACAGGTTATTTCCTTGTGCAGACACTCAGAAATGACTTGTAACATGCATCCAGCTTGTGACAAAATCAGTGTCATGCAGAAGGTACACCTTCTGTCTTCAAAAAGTGACAAGAGATAAGGTTTTTGAGGCTGACTTATATCTACCAGGTAAAATTTCACTCTGCAATCTTGAGCAGTTGTGTAGGTTTAGAAGAAGTAGGTATTTTGGATTTTTATATTTTTCCTTCAATCTGTCTTTTTTTCAAACTTGCCAGAGCAGTTTTTAGATTATTTAACAGTTGGTTTGACCACAGCTTCCTATCTCATCTGGTTTCTGGTAGCAAATTCAATTCCTCATGCTGTATTTTCTCATTTTCAAAAACATTTCAGTCTTCATAAGTGCTCAGCCCAAAGAGATACACGATATTATTCCAATCTATAGCTATCAGGAGGGATGAAGTACGAGTTAAGGACTGGCAAAAACTCTGAGGGCTATCACTAGCTCCATTAATATGATCCCTGGCTGGTGTTCTAATCCTGCCTATCTGAGCCCTCGCTGCTCATAGAGATTATAGGTGGAGAAAAAAGTCCTGGATGTAAATACTTGTCAGTTCCTACTAATTTCCTCTGGTGAGGAAGAACAAGACCATTCATAAATGCAGTGGTGGCACCTAAAAAAGCATTTCTCAACTGATTTTGTTACTATTATTTTCTCTGGTGTTCAGAAAAAGAAAGATACAAGTTACTGGCACCTGTCAGTAAACTGAATATCCACTAAGTTGTGCTATTTGTATTTCTGATTCAAATATATTTGGATTTTTTTTTCCTTCATACTCAATAAAGAAGCATTTTGAGTATAATTAACCAAACAAATGTAACTGTGGGTAATATGTTAATTTTATTTTACTGATTCCAGCTGTGTAGCAGCCATGGGCATCAGCCAAATAGAAACAGGTTCTTGGAGATCCAGCAGAATAGGAGACTTCCCCACAAAGTCTTGGTAGATTTCAGCTGACCTTGAACATATGTGTAGTCAAGAATAAAACTGATAAGATAGAGACCCCTGGCACCTTTTTCGTAATCCACAAATACCAGAATAACAGAAAGTCAGAGTCCAAATCTTTGTTTTCTGTATAAAACCTAAGAATTAATCCAATCTTCTTGTCACAGCTGAATGATCATGAAACAGATTAAACAATTTAGAGAGGTCACTGAAAAGCTGCAGTCTTTGCTTAGGTGTGATAAATGTGCACATACCATAGTCTGAGAAATGAAATTCAGAGCCTGGTAACTCTAGATGAGGTTTGCTCATCTAGAGGGAAACACTTTGTTTCCCAATCATCCCAGCACAATTAATCCCATCCTTCACTGCTTATTTAAATCTGTGTCTTTCCCTGGATCTTGTGTTAATATTTCATTTTAGCTAACACATTGCTAGGGGTATTTTTGCCAAGTACCTCTCAGAAGTTTCTGCTGCCTGTTGCTGTTCTTGCTGATCTCTTAGTTTACTTTCTGAATCCTATTTTTAAAACAGCATCTGAAAACTATATTTGGGTGGGTTTTTTTTAGCTTTTAAAGGTGCTCAGACATTTCAATAGCAATAACAAATTAAGAATAATGAAGCTGTATCAATAGAATGAATTAACATTCTTCCCATGATAAGGTGAACATGATGAGGCTCTTCAAACTCCTATGCACCTCTCCTAATGGAAAACTTTCCCACTGCTCAAGTCATGAGTAAACCCTTCAGGAGTCTATGTATCAGTGCATACAGGCACTTTCTGTTAAAAATCTAAACAATTTGTCAAGTGTGGAAGGTATTTATGCATCTTAAAAAAAAACTTATTCTAATTTTAAGTCTTGACATCTATTTTCTTGCATTGTACAACTGAACACACCTCTCAAGGAGGCCAGAATCCCTATATGTGACTCCTTTCAGGTTTAATCAGTATTGAGCCTACTAGAGCAGCTACTGCTGCTCTAGGAGAACCTCATCACTCACCCTGCCAACATGGTGTACAGAAGGATCCCCAAGCTCCAAATGTCACAGGCTGCATCATAACCTTGGCGTTTAAGGACCTGTGGGAAAAAAAGAGAGAGATGAAAATAGGTTAATCTGCATTCCCAAATTTTTAGCTTCTGATCTACAAAAAGCACTGATTAGTGGTTGTGTCTGCTGACATTCCCAGGGCTTAGCTGGGTATCTGCCTTGAACAGGTGGCTGCCTTGGGATCAAAATGTCCCGTAGTGCTGTGGAGCAAGGCAAAGCCTAGGCTGAAATGCGCTGGTTAAACTCAGCACATCTTTCCCCTTCACAGTGTGAGAGATGAGTGCAGTTTATTGTAGCCTGGAAGTCTGGGAGTTCCTCTGACCATCCAATACGCAGCAAAGCAGAACAATATTTCACTGTTTTTAAATGTTGCATAAAAAAATCCCTCATTAATAATTTGGAACATATCCTCCTAACATAAAAGTTACCAACAACACTGTGGATGCATCATAGGGCTAAATGACAGTGATAAGTATTCCAACTGAGCTCAGTTTGGATTTGATACAGCAAATGGATGCACACTGAAGCATATCTAATGTCAGACTAATGAAGATGCATGCTAAAAGGCTTCCTTTACTTCTGTATAAAGAAAAGTGGCCATATTTAGACTGGAGTAAACAGCAGGCTAAAACTTGACCCCCTTTTCCCATGGGGCAAACAAGACCCACAGTAGTCAGCAAAGATCTGAGCAGTAGGCTCAATACTGATACAGGATGGCAAGGTGTAGCACTCAGGGTACAGTCCAGATTTCATTTGTGCTAGTGCACACTGGAATAAATGCCTATTGAGTCAGTGCAGGTCCAAGTGAAAGTGAAGTCACCAACTAAGCTCAAGGACCACCTCCATATCTTCCCATAAAAGCAAACTACCCTCTGTTTATTCAGTTCTGACACACAAGGAGTTTTGTCCTCTTTAGATGGACCAGTAGATATATATTTTGCAAAGCACATGAAAAAGGAATGTACAAATTCAGCAAGTCTTTCTCTGACCTACAGCCTTATTACCCAGAAATGATTTAAGTATCTGATGTTTACCACAGAAAAGACCAAATTCTGCTTAGGAAAAGCAGTTTGAGAAAATGTTGCCTTGACAGATTTTATAAATGATGAGTGGCAAAGCAACCATCTGCCAGGTATGCTGCTGAGCGAACATTTGCTACCTGGAAAAAAACCCAACAAGCCAAAAAAACTCCCACAGCTACAAAACCAGAAAAAAGGCTGCAGTTCCTCCTGTTGACAAAGCTGGTAAAATCGTGCTTTTGCCTCTCTCTTCTGCATGTAAGATGTAGTCCTTCTGGCTGATTTATTTATTTCTATTTCTTTAGTTCCTGCATTCATTCCCCCTCTATTAATGTTTGTTTTCATGGGAAAAACTTCTTTGCTATTTGACAAACTTTCTTGCTTCACCCGTGAGACTGAATACCCAACATTTATCTTTTGCTGTGGTAGTTCTCATTGCGTTTTGAGCAGTTACAATTTCACTTCTTCGCCGTTTTCCTCCAATAACCAAGTCCAACAATCAAGTCCAAGGTAAGTGACAGAAAAATGGGGCAGTGATGATACTTAGTGGAGAGTGTTAATAAGCAAGTGGTTACACAACCCCAAAATGATTAGGTCACTTACAGAACTTAGTGGGATCTGAAATAGAGGCAGAAACTGGTTCTTAGTGCCACACCATAGCAGGACATTGTAGGGATAATGGGTATCCTGGAGATAATGATACCCTGGCTTCATCCAATTCTGAGAATGGCTCAGATATTTGTCCACATCCTTTTATTTCTGTAGGCTTTGACTTACTGAGATAACAGTGTTTCAAACAGAGGTTTTTCTCAGTTGTAACAAGCCAGGATGTAAATGGGTTCAAAAGCAAATAAAAAAACCTCATAATTTGAAATCACAAAGCAGTAGTTCTTCACAAATACTGTAGGAAACCTGCAGAATAAAATATTTTTACTTTATCCAGAAGCACCCTAGTGCATCAGCAGTACAACAGCCTGGCTCTTTCCTCCTCACACGCAGCGTGACTTGCACTAGGTGGCAGCGTGCCTCTTTCACATTGCCTTCATCTTTGCTCTTGCAATCACCTAAACCCCAAATTAACTGTTTCCAAAATAAAGGAGATCCAAGTGGGCAAACATGTCCTCCTTCTTGGGTCACCGCCCTCTTTGTCACCAGCTCAGCTGACTTTCTCCTCCTTAATTAGTTTCATAAGCATGTGGCAGACGTGGCAGTTGGACTCTGGGAATGTGAAAGTCACATTTAGGCTGGAGGGCAGCATTATATCACAGGTAACATGTAAAAGCACTTAGGGCTTTATGTAAGCTCTCTGCCAATTCTGGTAATGTTTCAATTAATCTCCAATGTCTCCTGCATTAGCAGGACCTGTCTTACTCATCACGAATGTCTGGGAATGTGATTTCTGCTTTAAGTTCAAATCAGAAGAGTCTGATAATGAAAAGAGAAGAGCCCATTATGAAAAATAGCTACACCTATTTATTTTAAGCATTGTGTACCTTGGAGGAAATCTGGGTGTTTCAGATCTTGCAAACATGATTTTTTTTTGTGGTTTAGAAATTGAATGGCTGTGGTGCACACAACTTTTTCAATCTACTTTGATAATTTTAAACAGCTCATTCCCATTTCTAAAATGGAAGCCTAACCAAACCTCAATAAAAACCCCAAACCAATCTATCTTGTTAATGGAAGGTGTTTTTTTTGGTTTTTTTTTTCACCTCAAGAAAATCTGTTTTGAATTTATACTGCTCTGGCAATGGTCTCTATATAACAAATTTTCCTTCTGATGCTGGAATGCTGCGATTCCTGTAACTTGGTATCATGAAAGGATCCTGTACAGAAAAATGATCCTATTTTTTTCTTCCCAGTCACACATGAACAGTGCATGGGAGAAAGAGAAAACAGGGAGAAAAGTAGATTGCTAGATGATATGAACTGAGAGACACTGGTATTTGATAGTAGATAACAGATGAAATATTGAAAGACAGTAGTTCTTTGTTTTTCTTATAAGGACCAAAACAAGCCAAGGAAGACACACTTTTGAAGCAGTGTATTGCAAGTACTAAAATTTTTCATTTTTATCCCTCCAAGAAATGGGTAATTACCCAAGAAATTAACTTCTTGCTCCTTCATTGTGAGGAAGCAGCCATGAACATCTCAAGGGTCAAGTACAGCAAAGAGTCCAAGCCATGAAACAGCCATCTGACCCAAGCCCACACCCACAGGGCTGCATGAAAGGAGCAGCACTTGCCAGGAATGCAGAGCTACCTCTCCCTGTTTCTTTAGCTCAGTGAAGTCAACAAAAAAGCTCTCACTGATTTCAGCATAGTAAGGATTTTGTGCAAGGATTTTTCTTTTCAGTTTTATCACAGAAAAAGTTAAGGTTGGAAGGGTCATATAGTTCAACATCCCTGCTCAAACAGGGTCCCCTAGAACACTCAGGATTGTGTCCAGATGGATTTTGGATATCTCCAGAGGAGACTCTACAATGTCTCTCAGCAACCTGACATCAAGATTTACCTCTTAAAGCTTAATCTTGTTCTGATGCAGTGCACTAGGGGGAAAGCAGTCTGATCAGAAGCAGCTAGAGAAAAAAATATATGTATCCCAGTAATGAGCCAAAGCATTGTGTGCACCAGTCCAACACAGACACCAGCTTCTGTCAGGAGAAAAACAACTGCTGTGACAGGACCAGGAATAGGAAATTTATGGTAATAGAGGCTGTGCAAGTGCCAGTAGCCTGGTTTCTGCCTTGCTCCTCTCATAAAGCCAGCAAGGGAGGAAGGACTGCTTCCTAGGACACACTACTACTGCAGGCTTTGAAATGTGATCCTACCTCAGGAGCAACAAAGTTGGCTGTGTAGCAGGGAGTCATGAGCAGCCCGTTCTCCGCTCTGAGTTGCTTGGCAAACCCAAAGTCACAGATCCTGATAGAGTCTGGGTTTCCTGACTCATCCATGTAGAGGATATTACTTGGCTTCAGATCTCGGTGCACGACCTTAAGAAAGAACAGTGAGAAACAAGTGAGAAGAGGAGGTCAGGGAGCATTGGGGCTTGGCTGCTGTTTCTGGTCTGCTGGTTGAGGTAGGTCAAGAGCTCATGCTGAAAATATTTAAGTTTTGGAAAAAAAGTTACTTAAAAGCCTTGGAAAAATGAAGGGAAAAAATTCAAGTCTGTTTCAATGAGAGACAAAATGTTAAACAGCCTCTACCAGTGTATTAAGATGGAGCTGCTGCTCTAAGATGAGACAACTTCTTAGAGTGGTCAAAGTGGACTTCTTGGTGGCAGAATCTCCTGGAGCTTGATGGCCTTGAATACTCAGCTGAAAGGTGAAGAATAAATTACATAATTGGAGAAAAGTGTACCAGGGTCTTCTTGTGGTTGTCCATGTGAGTGGCTCACACCTGAAAGGAAGGATTAATTTCTTTCTTAATTTCAAAATGTATTCACACAATTTCATTTGACTGTGTGTTTTACCAGACATGTTGAATTTCAGTGGCAAAAAACCAGCCATTTTAGCAAGATTTAAAAATTACCATGAAAGCATAGAAGCCAAAGCAAAAAATGCACTTTGTTTTAAGCATGAAGTAAGAAAAGCAATTAATATTTGACTAGTTATCCAAACTGTTTGTCCCTGAAATGCAGAAAAGGAGAGGCTTTCAAACTATTGTATATAAAGAGCTTAGACTTTAAAAGTCGGATTTTAACAGCATATCAGAAGTCTTTCCCATCAGCTGTTCAAACTGTCACTTCATTTGGAAAGCTGAGCACTTGATTTTCTACCTATCTGCTGATTCAGCTACACTATTTTAAGTGTTGTAAAAGTTCAGGTCCTGCAATAATGATTGTGATAAAAAGTCAACAGCTAATACCTCAAGAAAGTACATGAACTTGAAAATCACTGTATAGTGGGAAAGAAAATACTACTTTGACATGCTTCAATTTAGTGGGAAATGGATAAAAAGCCAATGACCTTATTTCACAAACCAAATGTAACTATAAATATAGAGGAAACATTAACACTTCAGAGAAGCAAAATCACAACTATTTTGCTATTTCAAGAAGTTGAATTTTAAGAAGGTTGATGCAGCTAAGCCAAAAAAAGCAAGGCTTACGCCCTGAGAATGTAGGTAGTCCACAGTCCTGGTGATGGTGCACAGCACAGCGCTGGCTTCCCTCTCTGAGAAGCACTTCTGCCGAAGGATGCGGTCCAGCAACTCGCCTCCCCGCATCAGCTCCATCACCAGGTACACGAACTTCCCGTCATCATAGACCTGGAACAGTAGCACAATAAATGCACTTATTGTATAAATGTATTGTATAAATACATCTTGGACCCATCTACTTGGTAAAGGTTGGTCCTTGAACCACAGTGTTGACTTGCTTGTGTGTGTGAAGTTGCAAGAAGAAATATCAACAAATGTGTGGGAAACGGGCTCCTTATGCTCAACAACTAAAAAGAAAACTTTATAAAATTACTTTAATCATTACTTTTTTCTGATGTCTTTAGCAGTTTGCTGATTTGTCCACAAAGAAATTTAGTTTTCCTGGTTTTCTGTCATGTCAACACAGCAGGCTCAGCTGTTAAAAACCACTCCACACAGCTTCTAATGTCTGCTGGCTCTCACCCAAACATTCTTCTCAGTAGTGTTCTCTTTTCCCCTTCCACGGGGTAACACATTTGCCATTTCAAATATCAATATTTCCCTTTGACTCATGATCAGCTAAAGAGCTGTATTATACTGTTGATCAACACTTGCATCTAATGATATTTTTTAGTTTATATTTGCAATTCTGGTGAATATATTGTTGATATCAGCTTGCAAGACATATTTACATTCAATGTCAATGGCAGTTGGCAAAAGACATTTTATCATTTAAATTGGAGGACAACTATTTTCATGACATCATCCTTTATCTGGACTGCAATAATAGGCAGTGTTATAGTCATCAATGCTAAATGTTTTTGGAAAGGAATATAAAAACCTAATTTTTCACAGATTTTGAGATACTCTTTAACACTTTGGAATTAGGTGAGACTTTTCTGAGGGCATGTGATTAGGAGATTCTCATATACTTCCCAAAGGTCTAAACCATAATGTACTGGCCACTGACACGAGTAGAGTTTTGTTCTGTCAACTCTGAATTTGACATGGTGTGGACAATCTTAGGTGAGACTTCAGGAAGCTAAAGTAAAACACCTCTGACTAAAGGCCATTACTTCATTTAAGCACAGTGAAGGATTATTTTTTCATGTGAAATGCTGATGAAAAATACCTTAATGACTTCTCAGGCTGCTGGAGTAGAAGGCAAATAGTCCCTGGCATTAAAACACTATTGTGGGAAGTCCTAGTGACTCTGTGAGCTCTCCTTTTCCCAGCAAAGCAGATAGCACAGGCTACACAGGAATGGCTGCTGCTTGAGAAAGATCATCCCCCAGCCCAGCAGCACTGCTGTGTGTATTCAGCAGTGCCCCAAAACACCCAGCTAGGAAGATCTCCTTTTAAATAGTGCTGCAAACCCAAACCCATTTTTCATTCTCCAGCACTGTGCCCCCTTGGTTTTATTTACATTTTGTTAGCTAGTAACTGGAGAATGCATAACCTGACCAGTCTTTCCAAACACTATCCAGTAATTGGTTAGGTCATGTTTTTCTCCCTGTTTTCCATGGGTATGGTTTTAGCTTGGACCTTCAACTGAAGAATTTTCCAGACATGGACAAATAAGTGAGCCTGACTAGAAGGTGAAAATCATTTAATGCTGAAGTGCTCAAAGACTACTCACATCTTTAAGAGTAATAATGTTTGGATGCTGTCCATATCGCAAGAGTATCTCAATTTCTTCAGAGGGGTCTCTTTTGCTCTTATCAATTATCTGGAACAAATGAAGGACAGTGTAGTCAAATACCAGTTAGCAGCACTAAGAACAAAACAACCAACTCCTACAGCTTAAACAAATTACTATTCAAAATTATTCTATTATCATTACTCTATGAGAGGACAGCTCAAACCATGTGCAATTGACAGCCATGCTGACTGCCTGCCAAAGCCAGATGGAGCAATAATTGGTTTAGATTCTGGAGGCGTAAGTCCTCTTTTTGATGCCTACAGTTCTGTTTACCCATAAATAATGGCAGTTACAAGAATTGTCATTTAGAAATAAAACACCATCGAGAGATTTAAAATAATCATAGTTTTAAAATTACCTCTTTGACATAAGAAAATGACAGAATCCTAATATTGGCATATGCTTGTATATATGCTGATAAATTATTAGAAATGAATTGTCATATATATTTGTCAGAAATGAAAATGTATGGACATTTACTGTCAGGGGAGATTTGAATTGAAATTATTGGTAATAATTTGGCTCTTTGGGCCAAACTCTTATAGTGAACAACAGAGTGACCAGACATTGTATTTGGCCATGTAACCAAACTCTCTACACATTCCTAAACTGGAAAGAAATCTGCTTCATAGATCACTTCTATGTAGTCAGTGTCTTTTGCCTTATTAGAAAATATAGTAAGACATGCACAATTTTTAGTTTTGTAGCAACAGGTCTTAGAAAAACACGACATCTGCTGCTTAGAGAGCATCACTGCATGGAAAGCCAGCTATCAGAAGAGCACTGACTTCTCCTCAGTGAAGAATCACTGAGGTACCTATATTTCCCATGTCAGGCAAAGAGCTTTAGTAATTTTTCCAGTTGAGAGCACTGATTAATGTTTTTCACTTTGCAGATTTAAATGATAAATATGGAACAAAAAATATTCTTAAGGGAAATCTCTGCATTTTGGAATCTCAAGAGTAATTGCACAGGAAATCAGCAGACTCATTCTACTAGAAACAGCAGCACACTAGGAATAGGAGTACACTATTTTGTCTGTATTTCTTATTGCTAGAAAACAACAGCAGTAGTTTTGAATAACAGGTTTACCAAAGTGGAATGGGTGGCATTTTCAGAAAATTATTTCCACTATTGCCTTGGCTTTCAAGGCTTCCACACTTAAATGTGGTATGCTCTCTCCAAGAGTTAAGTACAGAGCACATATTTTAAATTATGATGTTAGCAGGGAAAAAACAGATTTTTGAAAATCTCTTTTGCTAATGAGGATAAATGCCTGTCTGCTTTTTTATAAAGCACATGCATTTTTCATGGTTTATTTATGGTGATACAAATTCAAGTACATGAGTAGAATCTAATGCATTAGCCATAATAATGCATAACTGAATATAAATCAGAGGTTTCATAGTCATCATGACTGGCACGTATGTGTAGTGGTAATCATGGTCAGTAATTGTCCATGGCTCAGGTATGCCTCTGAAACTGTATCAGTGATTTAATTCTGAATTAATAGAAATGTGGCAAATGAAAGTGCAACAGGCAGCTGATGCAGGTAAATCGTTGTTGTCCACATTTGAATAAATAAAGGAGAACCTCAAGAATAAGAGAATGAAATAAAAATTTCTGATGTTGTTCTCCCAGTTTAGTTGAGACATTATCAAGAAGCCAACAAAGCCCCAATTGACTGAATCCACGTGAGTACAACCACAGTGACTGAATGTGTCCCACTCAACCAGTAAGCCTAACATACAACAAGATCCTCAGGGCCACTTCCTTGGCTACACTGATAAACCTCTTGTCCAGTTACTGGAGCAACTCACTCGTGCCCCTGTTAGCATCTGCCGGCCTTGTACCAACCAGCAGAACCTACTGTGACAAGAATTACCACCAGTGTGAAGTGCCACTGTACCAAGCTATATATTCCACACTCCTTTTCTGTTGCAGTTCCCTGTGAAAGCAAATATCCAGACCTGTGGAAAATTTTAAATGATTTAAATTTTAAGTGATTTAAATTTTAATAATGTATGACTATAGATGCATATATTAGGCCTAAAAAAAATCCAAACTAAAAATAGTCTCAGCTATTGACAAAACTAAAACCAATATAACTGAAAGCACTCTGCTACTGATGTAGTAGCAACAGCAGCAGATGACATTTAATGCTTCTAACTCACAATATGCAATGTTAATACAAATTGCAAGACAGTCCCACTTAATATGCATGCTTTTTGTTTTAATGTGTGTACAACCTGTGATACAATGATTACATGGACAAACTGCCCCAAACCGCACCACAAATCACCATCAGAGCTGTGAAACGACCTGCAAAATTCCTCTCAGTCCCTGGGCAGTCTAATTGGACAGACCAGAACCATTTTTCTCCTCCACAGCAAGAGATTGTCACCCTGCCAGTGCCTCTCTTCAGTGTTCCTGGGACTTACACTTGGCCCATGACTGCTAAAGAGGCAGAGGAGGTGTCTGCTGCAACTTCACCAGAAATCCCTCTGCCGCTCAGATTGGCTGCAGTATGCACTGTTTCTTTATCTGTATGTTGCAATTGCCACAGCAGTCCATTAGATATGCCCCACAGCTCCACTGCTATGCTCAGTTCTGATGTTTCTTTTCACAAAGTCATAGGTTGGAAAAGATCTCTTGAGATCAGCAAGTCCAACAATTAACCCAGCATTGCCAAGTCCATCACAAAACCAAAGTACCTTATCTACATGTCTCTTAAATGCCTTCAGGGATGGTGACTTCACCCTTTTCTTGGGCAGACTGTGCAGTGATTTATAACACTTTCAGAGAGTTTTTTGGTGTGCTGTTAAATCCACCCGGAATTTCCTGTGGTAAAAAAGAGCATTTGCCGCCCTGGTCACTGTTTCTGCTGAGACACTGTATTTTGCATGAATACAGCCTCTTCTCTGTTCCTCTCTGGGAGAGCCCATGAAGGTCCTGCAGCTCTTCCTGTGCAAGCAATGATGTCTTTTCTTTAGGAAACTCATTTTGATTTGAATTCAACTAAAATGTACATATAAACACTCTCTATTACAGAATTAAGGGAAGATCTCAGCTACTAGTCCTGAGAATTTGAGTAATATGTTATGATGCTACATTTCTATTTCTCTCTTTAGATATGTGGTGAAGAAGACCAACTCAAAAAGCCACCATAATGTATAAGCAACTTAACTGAAAATGTAACATGAGCTCTACTGCACCTTGGCCCAGCAGAGCTGTGACGCACAAAGGTCGTCCATTGCCCTTCAGAAGAGAAAGAAACTAAGCCATAAAGCAAATAGACTTTTTTCTGTGCATTGGACACCCAGGGATTGTTCAGAAACTTGTCCGTGTCAAACAGTGCATGAAAGAATTTCAGAGTAAAATGGGCTCAGCACAGGCAATACTGTCATTTGTTCTGACAGGATTTGTTTGTTCTTTAACTATCACATCCTTTGTGTGACTAACTGACTAACTGAAAGGAAAAGGTGCATTTTCTTTCCTCAGTGGGATTTAGGGTAATAACCTCATGATATTTTATGAGTCAAGCTCCTTTAAAGGACAATACTGAACACTACTCTATTAAGGAAGAAAGGAGCAGGACAGAATACTTTCAAAATCTCAATTAACACATCTGTCTGGTTTTTACAAGTCCTTCAACAAGGCTTCTGCATGGAAAAAATCATCTAATTCTCCTTTCCTAATGGGTTTTCAATGGATTTAGGCTTGCCAGAGCAGACTAATGAGTATAAAAGAGAGTATCAATAAAATTCTGTGTGGGTAAAGCCTTGCTGAAATAGCAACTAAATAGACAGTATATATATTTGCTTGCTGCCTTTCTGTGAAGGTATTTGCATGCTTCCAACTGTGTAGATAAATCTCTTCTTTTGGACCTAGTTATGCCATCAGCAGATGTTGGAGCCTTCAGCTGTTTGATACCACCCACCAGGCAGGACTTACAGCCCTTACAGCCCTGCCAAAGAAATGGTACATGTGAACACTTCCTAATCCACTTTCAGTGAACCAACCCTGATAATACAAATTGCCTTTTCCAATGATGAAATTAACCTGGATGATGGTGCATGAGAAGAATGGAGAATGGCTGTGTTTCTCATGTGAAGTTCTCCATCACTACAGTTGTGAGATTGGAAAAGGGCAAGAGGCGGGAGAAGACAGTGTAACTGCCTTTGCCGTCTGGAAAATGAACAGCCTAAAAAAAAAGGTGAGAAAGAAGCAAGAGAGTGAGAAAAAGGACAGCAAAAAACAATGGATACACTGATGGGAAGAGCAGTGATAGTAGTCTGAGGAGAAAGGATGAGGCTCTGGACAGGCTATGCTCAAGCTAGCAGCAAGGAAACTTCTCCATTGGGTCTTTCTGTGCTGGGGAGAAAGGACCTTGTGCCTCTTTAATGACCAAACAATTTAATGATCTTTTAAACTGCCTTATCTTCAACTGCCCCAAGTGACCTTTCCTGGCAGCTGAAACTGAGATACCAGAGTGTGAACTGGGGCAGCTGAGTTGCTGGTACAGTTCCAGTCTGCTGCTCCAGCTGCAGCAACACAAAGTCCAGCAGAAGGCAGGGCAGACACCTGGGCATTGTCATACCTTGTACAGCCACACCTGAGGCTGCCAGTGCATTTAGGCAGTGGATGACGTAAAGCTCCTTTTGACCAGCACTAGTTGAATGGCCTTGTAGAAAAAGCATGGAGGAGGAAGAGAGTTTTATATGCTTTTTAAAGCTGCTTTTTTTTTTTTTTTTTTTTTTTTTTTTTTTTTTTTTTTTTTTTTTTTCTGTTATATGCAGTTTTTTCTACAGTCTGTTTGGAGAGTAAGCATGGGTTAATCTCCTTCAAGAACAGATTCATTACATAGTGTGATGTGATAGTTTCTGTAAAAATCCTTTCCTTTTCTGGGAAGGAAGGGATGAGCAAAAGGAGAATTAATTTTGTGTCCCTTTGCACATTATATCTACACTGATATATTTGAAAATTCAGGGCACCACTAGTGGAATTGACTATAGGTGGGATTTGCT